TGTAATAGTCCTACCTATTAGATGCCAATCGGATCATCTACTCGCGAAATCACCCAATTTGAAATCTTTTTATTATGTAACTCTCAAGCATGTTTTGCTTCTAAAAGACCAAACTTTAAATTTACAAATTAATATGTTTTACACTTTTAAAAACTTGTTTTATATTTAATAGAATGCACAATGATACCAACCACAAAAACAGAACTTCAAAATCCTAAAACATGGAAAAAGAAGACAAACAATTGCTTTACTATAAAAGTGGTTAATAAGAAAAACAAAATTGACATTTAACATAAAACAATGAGAAAAAGGTGGAAAACATTATATATTCACAGGTTAAAATCACCTATATGAACTCCAATTAATTAAAAGTTACGCTCGATTGATAAATGCAAGATATAAGTCTTTTAATGATAATTAACACACGTAACATATATATATATATATATATATACACACACTAACTTTAAATTTTAACATTGGATTCGAATAAATTTTTACCAATTACAATCTCTAGCTACTATTTGCAAAAACAAAAAGAGAGATTTTTGTTTATCAATAATAAAATAATACATTAATTTTTCCCTTTCTAGTATTAATTATTTCATTGGTTGGGACCATAACATTATGAATAGCTTTTATTTGAAGTCTTAAATATATGTCTTCCACCGGCAGAACTTAAAATCTTATAAATGTTTTCAATCATTAACCATAGTAAACGTTTGTACTTCTAATATAATTTTAAAATTAAAAAAAATATATATACTAAAACTAGGTATCAAATACAAGTTTGGATACAAAGTAAAAACTACGAGTTTACCTGAACCTAGAAGTTTTAATTCAAATTCCTTACAAAAGTCGTTACTAATGACTAGAGAAGGTCGCCGTAAGTGTCTTTAGTGGTGATTTCGGGGTCATTACTAAATGTTATCTATGGCGACATAAAAAAAGGTTCATATTAAAGCAACATATTTGTGGCGACTAAACTCACCCCCTAAAAGTGAAGAATATTGCCACAAACAAGATTACTCGTACCTATGATTATTGAGAAGATCGCGCATATATATTCAAACATATCAATATGAAATTTTTAGCTGATAACAGTTTAAATTTTGAATCTATCTCTTAATTAACGAGTCTATGAACCTGAAAAATAATATTTTGAGTAGCAAACAATTGACATGACATGTCGAGAAATCTTAAGAGATTAGGATATTGTTGTCCCATCTCCCTATACATTTTTCTCACTATTCAACTTGCACAAGATTTTGACATTTTGTGTCCTTTCTATTTTTGAGGAATTTGATGGTCATTTTCATGTAGATGTTCTTCGATTTTTATTTTATTTTCCTTTTCATAAAATAGTTTCAAATGTAATAATGGATGTCAAATTACAATATTAACTCCTAATTAACTTTTAATGCAAACAAAAACATTGATTTTTCTATGGATTTGATAGATATCAAATATTTACCTACGTATTTAATTTTGTAAATCTAAGTGTTCCTTTTGGAGTTTCTAAATTTGCAAGAAAGTACTATTTCATCGTGTCAAAATAAGTATTGTTTTTTCCCTTTCGAATGTCAATATGATTACTTTTGAAGTTGAATACTAAGATTATGGTAGAGCGGTAAGTATGTATTGATCTTTAACCAAAGGTCTCGAGATAGAGTCATCTTTATAAGGGAGCATTATATCTCTAATGTGAGATTTTTCAGTACGATTCAAATTTAATGTATTTTGAAATATTGATCAAAATTTTCATAATTTGAATATCGAGAAACGAAAAAACGATGAGATAATTAATATGGGACATAAGGAGTAATAACACACAATTTGTGTGGAAATAGAAAAATCTAGAATTGATTCTTGGACCACTAGGATAATAATTCATGAAATTTTTTGAAGTGCATGAATTGCTATTAAATGTCTCTATTTTACAGAGCTTTTATATTTATATATATACTCTAATGCAATAAGTAGAATGAAGCACTTTGTAGCCTGCCTAATTGGTAATAAGTCCTATAAATGGGGGAATTCACCTTTGGATGACATTTCACTAATTTTAAGAACACAATTTTATAACGTGTTTGTCAACTTCTGGTTCATTTGCACGTTTGATCTAAATTTGAACGAGTTAAAATGAGTTATTTTAGTAGAAAAGTGAGTTATTAAGGTGCAAAATGTTACTTGGCGAAGATAAATTTATCAATATGAGCTTAACAATAAGGTCATAACTTGCCCAAATCTAATCAATTTTTTTTTTTTGAGTTACCAAACAAAACTAAGGAAGCTTTTTGGCTTTGGGCCTTTCCTACGGTTAGGTGGAAGGCGAAGACCAGAGGGGCCGAGCCATTAGTGAGATACCACTCTAAAAGGGCTAGAAGGAACAGTTTCTATGGGGCGTAGGCCAACAGAGGGGTGCAAAGGTTTCCTCAGGCCAGATGAAAATTGGCCCTCGAGTACAAAGGCAGAAGGGATCTCGACTGCAAGACACACCCATCGAGCAGGGACAAAAGTCACCCTCAGTGATCCAACGATGCCGAGTGAAAGGGTTGTCGCTCAACGAATAAAAGTTATTCTGGGATTACAAGCTAATCTTCCCTAAAATCTCATATCGGCGGGAAAGTTTGGCACCTGGATGTCGATTTTTCGCCACCTGGGTTGTTGTATGTTTCAAGGACTGGGTTGTTCGCCCATTAAAGCGGTACATAAGCTTGATTTAAAACATCGTCAAACAGTTCGACACTTAGTTTGGATGACTTGAGTTGTGCGCAAATTGACCAGCTATGAGGATATGTGCAATCCAACTTGCTCAATTTCGAACATATTAGACGTGTTATATTTTCTTGGACTAACTTTGTTATCCATAGTTCTAAAGAACAAGGTAAGAAATATATTTAACATATTTCATTACTTAGCGAGCTACCTTTTGTCTCTACCTAATTATCTCAAACTTCAATTAGGCTGTTATCTTGTATCTAATCCAAACTAAATATAAGTTAGACCATCATTAGCGCTAATTAATCAGTTTTTAGGAATTGAAGTTTTATTGCCAAATTTGCCTGGACAACCCTTTAACTTTTGTTCTGACGAAATCTCACCCTTCAATTTACGATTGCGTGTAGAAGATTCCGAAATGCCCAAAAACTTTATTCCTTTTCTTTCATTTTTGGTCCAATTGCTAGTTAATTCACATGCTATTAGAAGGTGCCATAATAACTTACATAACTATTTTGCAGCAAAAGTTGAGTCTATGTATGGCAATTCATGAACAAGTGACCTTTAGTATTTCATAAGTGACCTTTAGAGGAAGGAGAAGTCGAAACAAGATTTCATAGATGAACATGTGGAAGGATCATTGTCAAAACCTACAAAGTAGAACGACTCGTGAACATGTTTAAACAGTAGAGATCAGCCGCGCAGATGGGGTGCTTCGATCCCCCTCCGTGCTTCGATCTCTTGTCCTCCTCGCACGGTCTCGTGCAACTCTCGGTGTGGAAAGCGCATTTAGTAACATGCATGCCTCTCTTTTGAAACAAAAACGATCTTTAACAACAGATGTCTCGACTCTCGTATCGATAAAGAACATAGCAATATGCAATACTTGAAGTAAATTGTAGAATCTCGTTAATCAGTTGTTGATTGATCTTTTGATATGTTAATTTCAACAACTTTCACTTGTTTTACTTCTTCCTAGCTACTTCACATGTAATATGTATTTATTTTACCGCATAAGTATAAAAAAAATATCGATAATACATTATAAAATTGATCTATATGTTCATATAATTATATGAGACCAGATATCTCGTTTCGAATAAAAAACAACTCAAAAGTACTTTACATAACCATCTCAAAGACATTGTTCTTTAAGAATATTATGCCCATTCCATATATAGAATAATCAAACACATATTTCAAAATTTAACAAGTTCTTTCTAATTATTTTATTATAAACATAGAACAGAAATAACAAAATTTTAATAAACAAAACACAATAAATAGGAGTAAGAGAAAGGGGAAAAAATCACATAAATGTAGAGAAAAAGACAGGTCATGGACTGTTATTAAAACATTGTCAGGTTGGGTAAGAATCCGATGAGCCCACAATAAAGCACAGACGTTTCACTACGTTTTTTTTTTTTTGCGTGTTCGATATTTATATTGGAACTCGACTAATTTAAATTTGTGCTGCATAAAATCTCCCAGTGCTTCATCTCGAAATCTCTAATTAAGAGAGGAACAACCTCATTCATTACTTTGCACCACATCTTTTTGGTGGTAGAATTTGAATTATTTGTTTACTCGAAATTTTATTATTGACGTGATGAATTGTAAAATTTTAGTTCAAATGATCAAATTTTTGGATTGCTTTTTGTGATTTTAAAGTAATTGCTAGTACTTTCCAAGGTGATAATAACATTTGGACCGAAATATTCTTAGTTAAAGCGCAAAATAACTTCAATAACGAAGATTTGATAAGTGAAACTTCAATAAAACAAATTAAAGTTCAAAATTTACTACATATTTATACTCCATACACGATACAATAACATATGGAAGTTTAAACTTTTATCTATTACGTTATTTACTATATTTCGATTACCTTATTATTTTATTGTTATTTTTAGTCAATCTTATATTGTTATTTGTTATATTTTTTTCACAATTTTCTTCTTGTGTGTATCTAAATTTGTTGCACTTGAACCGAAAGTTTTAAAGAACAACCTCTTAATCTCTACGAGATGCCAAGGGTCTCTCGTAACAACCTCTATCTTCACGAGATAGTGAGGTCTGTGTACACTATATCCTCCCCAGAATTCATTAAGTAGAATTTTAATAGGCATATTGATGTTACAATCTCTACAAGATAGTAGTAGAATTTACACATATTTTATTCTTTTCAGACCTCACTCGTGGTATATCAATGGATATATATTATGTTATGCTTGTATGTACCTCAAATATCACCTAGAGTTAGGTTTATAAATATTTATGTATTTACTTGTGTTATATTTGGTACCTTAAATTTTGGTAAGTGCACAAAAACCAAAGCAAATATTGCTTTAAGGCAGCGGCTACTCAGAAAAAAGGGCACATCCTTTTTATAGAGTCAAAGATAAGAAAGACTACAGTAGTACACAGAGTTGCAGAGAAGACCGCCATTGAAGCTCTTAATAAAAACTCCATATTAGAAACAATAAGCTCTGCAAAATTCCAAAAAAGAAGAAGAAAAGAGAAGAAGTATATAGAAAGCTTCATTTTTTTCTTCAAATACCTCCATTTTTCTCTTCTTTTTGTTAGTGTTTTGAACCTCATTGACTTGAATTTGTGGGGTTACTATGGAGTAATCTCTGTTTAAATTTGTGGGGTTTGTTTAAAATTTTCAGTTGCAGTTTGCAGCATTAACGAAATTCGAGAAACTGTAGAAATTGAGCTTGGGGTTGTCTTGTTGAGTCTCATTTTGGAATTGGGTTAGCTGTGTTGTATCAAAGTTGGGTTTGGTTTTTCTGTGAAATGGATAATCTGATAGAGTCAATTGAAGCAGGAGAAGCTAGATCCGAGAATTGCGGAGCTAGAATGGGAGAAATAGGAACTGGGTTTCATCAATTTGGTGAGGAAATCTTGTCTGTTACGTCGGAAGGTGGAAGTTCTTTCACTGCTTTACTTGGGCTTCCACCGAATCAAGCGGTGGAGCTTTTGGTTCAGTCACCGGAAGCTGACAAAATGACATCAGATAAGCTCGCTATCAGTGAACCTCACTATCGTTATCCTCCTCCTCCGATTTTTCCTTCAGATATCGCTTTGATCGACAGAGCTTCTAAGTTCTCCGTCTTCGCCGCCGCCGGTAACTCTCCGGAGTCCAATTCAACCCTTTCAAATTCCGGATCGAAATCACTGTTCGTCAAACAAGAACCCATAGATTCCGAATTTAACCACAATTCATCTCCGGCGACTTCCAATCCACTAGTCAATCAGAAATCAACAAAGAGAAAGGAACGCGAGAAAAAGGTAATTTCAACATCCCATTTAGTGTAGGAGCCAGAATTTTCATTTTCTCCTGTAGGTAACATCTAAAGAAGTAAACATATGAACTAGCTGAAAGAGTTCGACATCTATTATATATATACACGTAAAGAATAGTGTTAAACATGTATAAATAGTGTAATTTTCCGACGAGGGATGCTAATTTCAGTTTGATGAACAATTTCTGTGAAATTCAGGTAAAAGAAACTTCTAAAAAGGGGAAAAAATCAGCTAACGATACCTCAGAAGACGGCGGTGAGAAGCTACCATATGTTCACGTCCGAGCGCGTCGAGGCCAAGCCACTGATAGCCATAGTTTAGCAGAAAGAGTAAGATTAAGAGCTTCTAATGTTTTGCTAAACATGGTAATTAAGCTTTTAATTATCTTGATTATATATATAAATGTGTAGGCAAGGAGAGAGAAGATTAATGCTAGGATGAAGCTACTACAAGAACTGGTCCCAGGATGTAATAAGGTAAGCTGTCACTTTTATCAGTATTAATTAATCATTAATAATTGTTTAATATGTTGTACTGATTGTTAATTAGTACTTAGTGGGGGAAATATCTGTAATGTGATTGCTTTCATTGCATTATTGATTAGCCTTTTTGGTGCAAAATCAGTCATTTTCACCTTTTTCTTAATGAAAAAAGGTGGTGGGTTTGGCACCAAGAAAAGTGGCGAACAATTTTACTGTTGTTTCAGCTTTATTGCCTTGCATTTGATGGGTAATAACTTTTGAGGTGACACAAAGTTTTAAGAGAGTAAATAATACTTTTGAATCTTGTGGTATTAAAATATGTCACGTGTAAAATTAAAAGTAAAGAGTTGTCGAGAAGAAAAAGGACAATCTTTTTCAACTATATTGAAAAGAAAATTAAGACAAACAAATTGGAACGGAGGGAACACTTTTTAATGGTCAATCTTGTCATTTCAATTTTCACAAAGGTGTTGGAACTCCTTTTTATAAAGAAAAAATGTTACTTTAAAAGTTTTTCTTTTCTTAGAATAATTTTGGGGGAGGGATGTTTTATTAGAACAGAATTGCATCCTTCGGGTGTGACGTAGTGGTCTATAAAATGTGTCAAGAACCATGAAGTTTCAAGTTCAAACCTTGGGGGAGGCTAATACACTAGGTAATTTCATATCTATTCAAGTCTTGATGGATAGAGTAGAAAGAGCTCCATTAGGGAATTTTTTTTAGAGGATAAGGTACACATACACTAGACCATAGCAAAAAGCAAAATGATCAACAAACAAAGAACCATAGCAAAAAGAAAATGCAGATATATGTAGAGAAAATCAACTCTGTGCCTGCCTCAAAGGTTCAAACCCAAACGGTTGCCCGACTTAGGATTATTGGACTATATATAAAGAGATCAATCCATAATCCATACATTTAAGACAAGATTACCTATTGGGGTTACTTCAAATTTATACCATACACAGGTCATAGTAGAAAATCTTCTCCTTTTTTTTTAGTCGGGATGCGGGTGGGGGTTCTCTGATGTTATTCCTTCATTTGGTCATACATGATTTGAATAAGTCATCTTAAGTTTTAAGACTTCGATACTGAAACTTAAACCCCCTTGCAAACACACGCACAGACAAAAAATAAAAGGATACACAAATATTGTCGAAATATAAACCCATTAGAATAGTTCTGCCTGTAATGTTACTTATTTTAAGTGCTTTAAAAAAATTATTGACTCAGTGACTTTTATCATCTTGAACTGTCAATATAAATGTATTCAAGACTTAAAAGGATGTCTGTTTCTGTTCTATTTCAACTTGTTCTGCGGTGGCTTAACATACACGGACTACTATGAGGCTAAGCAGAAATATATGGTGATTAATTTGTGACTAATTTGCAGACCTCTGAAGATCTTTCAATTAGTCAATTCTCAACATTGAACTAACCCAAAAAAATATTAGCACATTCTAATGCTTGGACTATATTTGCAGATCTCAGGTACTGCAATGGTGTTGGATGAAATCATCAACCATGTACAGTCCCTACAGCGTCAAGTGGAGGTCAGATCTCGGATATCCTTCTATCTGATTTATTAGTGCTGAAATCTGCAGAAGACTATTGATTATGATATTTTAGGTGTAAATGCAACTATGATGCGTCCATATCTCACTACAATAATATATTTTATCCCTCTAAATAGTCATTTCTTCCAAAACTTAGAGCCCCCTATGCAGGTTAAGCACCTTAACCTGACACTCCTCAATTCTTGCAATAGTTTGCTTAAGTTAGTTTACAAGAGAGAAGAAAACTTTTATTATCGGCTACCGGAGGTAGGGGGCATGGAGAATGTACAGCAGTTCTTTGATTTCTCATCAGCTCTCTTGTTAGCATACAGTAATAAGGAAAAGGAGAACCGATGAACTCATACCTGAGGAGCAACTCTGCCTTATTGAGGAAACACAATCTTATTCTGAATCTTGTCAGGGTAAACTTAAACATATATAGGAAGTCAATAAAAATTTCAGTGATATTGCTTAATATTAAAAAATGATATAGGGGTTTGGGAGCCTACATGTAGTGCCCTAGCATGTTCAGTCCTTATACAGACGAATACATTTGCACCACCTGCATCTTTTGACATAATTTTGAGAATGTAGGCAAAGATACAGACCAGTGGGAATCCCACATATGAACCTTCATGACCTTCGAGAAAGTAACTTTTTCCTCTCTCATTGCTTGGTAATATAAATGCTTTATTTGGTTTCCTTGATCGTTTTTCTGATGGAGAGTTGTTTGGTTGTAGTTCTTATCAATGAGACTTGCTGCGGTTAACCCGAGAGTTGATTTCAACCTTGACAGTCTCTTTGCGGCAGAAGTAAGTTCCGTTGCTAGTCAACTTTATTACTATTGTGAGCTTACTCAAATGGTGCTGTGTTTTATGACTTCACTTCATCCTATTTACTCAATTTGTGAAATAAAGCACATATGATAATTTCGTTAGTTTTGTGCTCTATGATGACAGCCCATCTATTTATCTTCAACATCAGCTTATAAGACCACCTAAAAGATGAGATTTCACAATAAAACTGTTCTATAGTTACTCACTGTAATTTTTCTTGATCCCCGCGTAAAATTTTGAAAAATGTGCTTCTTGACTAACCAAAATGCCAGAGCTGGGTCAAATGTGGACCACCATTATTGTCTGCCTTACTATGCAGATTTACACTTTCAACTGTCCTTTCTGATATGTGGTCACCTGAAAGGTTGCCTTGTGACCATACCACAATGTTGTTACCCTCTGGAGTTACCTCTCTGAGTGGGTCCTCTATTTAATACACCTCAGGATAGGAGAATTGGCCCTATTGTACTTTACTCTCACCATTTCTGCAAGTTTCAACTTCTCACGTCATGACATCTAGAACGCTGGAAACGACAAATTTTGTACATTATCATGTTTCACTGCAATTAAATTACAAATAATGCCAGCTTGTATGTTGCATTGTGATAAGTTCAAAAATCTCAAGGTGACACCTTTCAGGCTTTGTTTCTAGTTATTACATGACTAGCTTTAGAATGAGTGATTAATTGCTTATAATGTCTAAAACATGTATGAGATAATCTTCATGATATTCAAAACTTCTGATCATTCCCTAAGAGTTTCAATTTTCTTTTTGAAAATTAGCGAAGTGGTTCCCATGTGGAGAGTAACTTACAAGACATGGTTGTGCCACCTATCTGGGCCGAGGGACAAACCAGCGGAAACAGAAACCAATATCAACATCTATGGCATTATGAAGGGTTCCATCAGCCTGCCTGGGGAAGGTTAGAAGACAATTCTAGCTTTGTTACTCCAGAGAACTCGCTGTTGACATATGATTCCTCAGCAAATTCAGGTAAATCCATACTTAATGGCCTCTGTGTTGCTAATCTCTCTAACTTAAAACTGGAACTGAAAGAATTTTGTGAAGAAAACCGATATGGAATGCAGCATGAGTTAAATGACTTCATAGCTAATCATCATATTTCGGATTCTTGCAGCATCCTTACACCCAAATCAGCTGAAAATGGAGCTATGAAAGAAGAAGCAAGTCTTTACTAGTGATTAGCTGTATATATATCGGACATATTAGTTGATAGCAGCCAGTGCCAGAGAAGAGAGTTATCAAGAATTCAGATTTTGGGTTTCACCTTCTTCTAATCAAACAGCAAGGAGAAACTCCAGTTTGATCTCTGCTAGGGAGGAAGAAAATTACGCGTATCCCTTGTTCCTATTTATATAACATATATATATGTATGCAGAAAGATTTGTCTATACGAACATAGGGTCATTCAATCTGATACTTGGTACGCGAGATGATTGATTGATTCGTAGTTGTAAAACAAGAACAAACTAGTGGTGACTATTACATTGTTATGCAGGCAAGGTTTCGTGCTATTTGCCCCTTCTGCTGAAATTTCTTGTGCTGTAATTATGAGAGAACTTGAGAAGCAATAAAAAGAAGAACATTGGAAAATTGAGAAGGCTTCACTTTCAGGGAGAGATAGATTCAAATAGATAATCCGCTCTTTTATCCTTATCTGCTTAAATATCAAGTTTTTGTTTATCACAAGATTTGAACTTGTGATGAGTTATGGTGATACACCCCTACATTTTCGAAAAATCCGAGCAATATCCCTGTCAGTAACTAATGCCACCAAATCATAGCATCTCCAACAAAATAGGAAGCACCTCCAGAATTGAGAAAGTGACAAACATCAAACAAATGACTTTTGAGTAGAATGAATTGATAATATAACATATAGCACAAGAAAGTTGACAAAGGATGAATACACATGAAACCACTAAACATGACATTTTGTTTTTCCCTTTTTTAACATTATCAATGGGTAGTCGTTCTGCACTGTATGAAAAAACGAAAAAGAGAGATTGAGAAAGAACAAGGACGACGAGTCCAAAGATGATATCCACCAAGCCAGCATAAATAACAACTTACAAACTGGAGATAGAATGAACGTGCCCCAGTTTCATCACTTATACCATCGAAATCTAAGGGACACCTTATACGACAAAAGGCCAACTTATAGGAAGACCCAACAGATTTTAAAGCAAGAACATCATACTTCAGTTCATATAAAACATTCAATAGATGCTTCCTAGATCTTGTTTAGCTTTTCTGCTACAACAACAGGATTTGCTTTAGCAATAGCATCCCGACCAGCATTCTTATAGTCAAATGGGCACTCGTGCTTGTCAGAATAACGGTGAGCTGCACAGAAAAGATTTCCACACTTGCAATTGAATCCTGTCAAGCCAACACGCTTGCGGCAAGTAGTGCACCTAGTTGGGCCCTCTTTTGGCTTCACCTCTGAACTTGGACCTGAGGATAAATCAGACGATGCTTCTGTAGAGATAACCTTTAAGTCTGCTGATCCCGGTTGAACATTGATTGCACCAGTGGCAATAGGCTCTTTGCCATTGCTGCTTGAGTTTCCATTTACAATGTTTTCAATTGATGTTGCTGCAAATTTAGCTTGTTCCTGCTTCAGTATCATGTCCTTGTGACACTTGGAACACATATTCATGGTGGCTGCACTACCAAAGAACCCGCAGTTGTTGATGCAAAGGATGGGACCTTCGGGAGCTTGGCAGCCTGTTTCTTTGGAAGACTCCATTTTGTACAGCAGTTAACCTGCCACTTGCCACACCACAATTTCATTACGCAAATTTTCCATCATCATAACAAAAAGAACACGGAGGTTCCTCCTCAACTAATGAACATCGAAATGATCAAACATGGTTGCTGTCATGAAAACACAAGGAAGTGGTAATGACCGACAAAAAGACATCACTCTAAGCTTGTGGTAAGCACAGACTTGCACTTCAGTCATTGTCATTATGTCTCATCACTTACCATAAATCATTTAACATAGCATTCAACTATCCAAGGTAGCCATTGAAAGGCGCAGGACCAATAAACTTGATTATCTACACAAATACAACAGTCTAATCTTCTTTTGCTTATTACTTATTGCATACAGCATGAACTCACTCTATCAATTTTTTTTCAGAATTGAATGCACAGATAGATTTCAGAGATGCCAAGACAACTATTGTTTGAATGAATAGTTATCCAAGATCAGGGCACTCCTTTATGTCGCTAAATTGTTTACTACTTCTCAGCATAGACTATAACCTGGCTCAACAAACGATCATCTCGAAGTGAATGGTATTTATGTAACATCACCAACCATCACCCTCGCAAACAAACCCAAAAAATCAAGTTTATTCAACTAGAGCCCCTGATAAGAAACTGAAACTTTATTAAAGTAAAATTCAGTAAATGATACAACAACAACAACAACAACACAAAAATTAAACTTGTGGGGTTTGAGGAGGGTAGAGTATATGCAAAAAAGACATAGTCACTTCTAACAACCACCAAAGCAAAAAGCTAGATTGCACATATTGATGTCTCCATGTTCATTCTCCATCATTTAATTAGGATGATGAGCGATAAAAAATCAACTTTGTTTAGGTAAGCTTAGCAAAAAGGCAGAGGATTGCAGTGGGTTGATGATCAGGTTGGAAATAGTGTTACTATAGTTAAACTATGACAAATCCTGTAGCAATTACCAACAATTCATATAGCTGATGCCAACTAGTTTCGGAATTGGGATTGAGGCATTGTTGATTGATTCATGAACCAAAAGAGCCAAAATAAGAACATATCAAACCACAACTCAGCACAGAACATATACAGTTTGCTCAGATGATTCAGATACCACCAAGACTTCACCATCAACAAAGATACAACAAGTTCTCATCTAAGAAACACAAAATCAGCAATTTCCCACTTGGGTTATAAAGCAATATCCCTAAAAATCAAAACTTTATACAAATAACACCAATACCATACAAAATTAAGCACCAAAATAATCCAAATCTAACAAAGCACCCCAAAAAAACCTTTTTTTAACACAAACACATAAATACATGCTCAATTTTCCCTTCTTTTGGAAAATTCTAACAAACCCTACGAAAAAAAAATCAAAAAAATCATCAAAATAACTCAACCCCACCAATCAAATCAAAAACTTTGCCCGATCTTCAGTCACAAATTCGAAACCCATAAAAAAGGTCCTAGAATCCCCAGATTAACAAAAAAAATTCAAAAAAAATCGCAAAAAACATAAAATTAACATCAAATATTACGACGTAAACAAAAAAAAAAGCCAAAAATTTCTGTTACCTGAATCGAAGAATCGAGAGGCGAAGAAAAGAGGGCGAAATTGAGAAATTTAGACAGAGACCTGAAAAGAGAGAAGAAAGAGAAAGGAGAAGGATTGAATTGTAAAAAATGAAGAAAATTCTTTTTCGTTTCGTTTATTTATATTTAAATTTAGGCATAATTCATAAATACGTTTTTTAACTTGGGTTCAACTATATCTATGTCTATCAATTTCGAGTGTGTATAAGTAGACACTCAAATTTTTATAAAATTAAATAAGTACACACATGTCCTACGTAACATAATCCATAAGATGCTACGTAAAACACAAAATTATGAGGTAAGACGCCACGTATGATGAATATATTTGTTTGCTCAATTTTATACAAGATTTAAGTGTTTAATTGTATACATTCAAAGTTAAAAGTTATAATTATATGTTGGAGCCAAATTAAGGGTAATATTTATGTATTATACTTTAAATTTAATTATTAACTTTCTTTTTTAAGAATTTTTTTTATTTAATTATAATTTAGGAATGGTAATCACTAATTACTTTCAATTTAAACAAACACTTTTGGGAGTTTGCACGCCTTCTTTTCTTCACCTACCCTTACCGAACTTCTAATTTACCGTTTTGCCATTACTTTTTCCTTACGAAATCCTCTTAATCTCGGTATTAAGTACTTAATTTATTGCGATAATTTAATATATTTTGTGTTTCTTTTTTCCTTATTTTAAGGCTCATAATTTCTTTGACTGGTTTTCAAGTATGTTAAAATAAAATAATAAAATATGGTGGAATAAAATATATGTCGAGTAAATGTCATCAGCCATATCATTGACAAGTTGGATTATGACCTCTTCAATATTTGAGGTTGGGAGGGATAGTCATTTTTTTAACGGAGGAATAAGGAAAACGAGATTGAGATAATTCAGATATATCAAAAAAAGATGCACGTATATTTTAGTTGGGAGCGAGAGGTTGATTGTCTTAGGGATGCAGAGAGGAAGTGATAGGTGGAAGAAGTAATATTGAAGAGAAGTGATTAGATAAAATATGCTATTTTTTTTTAGCTAATCGAGAATATGATCACACATAGACAAAAGGAGATAGAAAGTTAGTATATAGTTGATCGTGTTTAGTTTCTCATTTTAGTATTCATTGTAATACTCATTTATAATAATGGTTTCACGATTTCTCTGTTACATGTTGCTCCCTTTGTTTAGTATCATTATTTTGTTCTTTGATTTCTTATTAGTTTGTGTTATTTAGTAATTCTTTTGCTTTAGGCTATTGTATTATTTGTTGTTGATATTGTTATATTCTTCATTATTGATATTTTATTTTGAAATTCATGGGTTTGTCAAAACAACCTCTATCTTCACTTGGTAGAAGTAAGCGGATTGCATACGCACTATCCTTCTCAAGTTAATATTTCACTTACGAACATACACTAAATATATTATTGTTATGTATATTCGTTAAACTTATTAGAAAAAAGACATCAAATATATTCCGAATAATATTTCACACTCAAATTAATCAAGCGATTCTAAGTACGATACCTTACGTGGCCAAGATCTTAACCGTCCATATATCTCTAGTGTCGCCTGGCGGGAACTCGAACACCTTGAGGATCAACATGGCGGGAATCCTTCCCCTTTATAAAGGCTTGCAACTAAATTAGCTAAAATCCATTCAAAATTTTCTTCTTATTCGAATTGTCGATCGTTTTTGCTTGCTCAAGTAGTGTAAGTGTCTTCAGATTTGCCGTATGGGAAAGGGAAAGAAGAAGGCTAGGGTTCCGGTGGAGAATTTTGAGGAAGACGCCGACTCCGATGACGTAGAAATGAATGAAAATGATGAGAGTGTGAACGGATCTTCTTCTCGCGAGAAGAGCCTTTATGAGGTACTCATAAATTTTATTTCTAAGCTAACTTTTGTAAACAGATCTAGCATTTTAAGTGAAGTAATTGAAAGCTTCACCGCTCAGCAAATTATATATCTCTGTTTCTATATGCTTGTAGCAGATGGTGAAATTTGGGTTAATGTTTAAATTTGTATATTTGTTATGATTTTGGACCTTTTGGTTTGTATATATGTATTTCAATTTTATATTCTAGGATTTTGTTAATATGTTATTGACAAATTTGTAAATTAGGGTAAGAATTGAATTTGCAAGTAAAACTGAGTAGAAAATTCTTATTCAAGTTGTCCGGGGTAGTTGTCTAGCAAAGTCTCTGGGAGACGGTGACTTTGTGAACTTAAGAAGCTTAGGGCTAGGAAGCAACAATAGAGTAGAATAGTTACAGTTTTCCTGATCAAAATCCTCTGCCCTACAAGTGAGGGGATGTTATCATAGCCTAACTCTAAGGACGGCTGTCTGCATTGCATGTCTCACCCGATGATTGCTATCCGCACCACTCAATTGTAACGTATGTGATTGAGAGTCTCAGAAGTAAATCCTTGATTCTTTGTGAACGTTTGTACTTATCTTGACCGTCTGACATCTTAAATATAGTCACATAACTTTTGAGCTAGATAGGTTCCCATCGCAACTTCGGTCCTTTAACCAATCTTACCGATCACACTTAGGTGCTGAGATTGGTGTCACCTTTGCTGAATCACATTCGATCTGTCCGGATTTTACCCCATACAGGGTTTCCAAGTGACTATAGTGTTTTTGGTTAATACTATACTCTGCTTTATAGTATGCAAAACGAAATACATATGTTACAGATTTGATTGGAGAGTTCTAAGATAAATTTTCTCTATATATGTATGTAAATACTAGTGTGTGTTGCTGTAGAAATAGTGCTTAATTGTCTGAGGCATGTGATATGCTTATAATGAAGCCATAGTTGTAAATCTTCATGATGGGAGCCTATGAACTAATGTTTGGTTTAGAAGATGTTAAACTAAACGCGCTCTTTTCTTTTTGGTGTTAAGTTACTGCTCTTTTTGATTTCTCTGTTCAAGGAGGTGATACAATACTAACGAGGCATCTACTTGTAGATTCTTGGGGTTGAGGCAACAGCATCCCAGCAGGAAATAAAGAAGGCATATTACAAGTTAGCTCTGCGACTTCATCCTGATAAGAATCCTGATGATGAGGTAAATGGCTGCACAATTGAGTATGGTTTGCCCCAGTAATCTGTATACATTAGCTAATTTAAAGACGAATATCTTAAATTTACTCAATAGGAAGCAAAAGAGAAATTTCAGCAGTTGCAAAAGGTGATATCAATTCTTGGTGATGAGGAGAAACGAGCACTGTATGATCAGACTGGCTGTGTTGATGATGATGTGAGTCGTATTGCTGTGATTATTTTTCCCCCCTGTGATCCTTGCAAACTCTGATAACATTTTGGAAACTCTAGCATCTTCAGTATGTTGGAACTTTTTACTTAGTTTTTTTTTGCATATGATGGTGTGATGTAGTAAAAAGACCGTCTCATTGTTATGAAAGTGAGCCATAATCTTGTTATTATCATGTAATAGATTCTGAAGATGACTGTTGAGCTGGGTTTGGGGGTGATCAGCTCTCTGCTAGGAGTAAAGCTGAAATTTGACCTTCATACAGTTCTCTAGAAACTAGTATTTGAGCCTTTGTGTTAAGGTGAAAAGACCGGGTAAGTGAGGGTTAGTAAAAGGAGGAGGCATCCGGCCCCTATATGTTAGGGAATGGAAGGAGTAAGGAGATGTGTTTGACTTCCTTTATAGGTATACCAATCAAAGGGTAAGGATGACCATCTTCCTTTGGGGAAGTAAATCAATATCCTCTCCCCTTCCCTGAACCAAACATAATGTTTAGCTCTGTGTGTGTTACAAATGCATTTTTCTCTTTTCTTATATAGGGTCAATCCCACACATTGTGCACAACAAAGTTAATGTTACAGTAGACATGCATGTATGGTGTCTTTTATGTTGATCCAGCTTATATTTCTGGTTTTTGTAGACAAGTCTAACTGATATCTGGATTTTCTTAATATCGCTCTTATATATGGAGATTTTCAAAACTGTAGCGATAGCAGACAATCTTTTCAATTTGTATTTGATAAATAGAAAATAGAATAGTCTTTTTGGCTGATGTGCTAATTGAGTGCACCTCAATGACACCTATCTAGAAAAAAAAGGTTCTCACTATCATCTGCCTATTAACAGGACCTGGCAGGAGATGTTGATAACTTGAAGGAGTTTTTCCGAGCTATGCATCCAAAGGTAACAGAAATAATTACTCCACTTTATTATTTGAATAGTAGACACTCTAACATTGGAGGAACCTACACGTCTTTTTTCAGATTACTGAGGCTGATATTGACAAGTTTGAAGCAAACTATAGAGGATCCGAGTCGGAGAGGACAGACTTGATTGATCTATACAAGAAGTATAAGGGTAAAATGAAGAGGTATGGGCAGGAAGCCACATGCTCTTACCTCTTTAATGCTTTGATTTCTAGGTTGTCACCTAATATACAATCTTCTGTAGGCTATTTTGCTCCATGATTTGCTCTGATGTCAAATTAGATTCACATCGCTTCAAAGATATTCTGGATGAGGCTATAGCAGCAGGTAAAGTTTAGCTTCCATCATATTAAGTATCCGTAAACATCACAGTTCGTCCTCTACAATGCCCTTACAATTATGGAATAGATGTGTCATTTGATCTAAACGTGTGACTATCAACACTGTTTAGCCATCTGTTTTCTGCATTAACATTCCTCTTACTTTTTTTACTTTGGCAATAGTTATTGTGGTCACACAAAGCCTTCCCTCAGAAAAATTCTTTTCTTTCTTCACTGGGAAGTGATCAGCACTTATATTTTTACTTTGACAGGGGAGATAAAGTCAACCAAAGCATATGAGAAATGGGCAAAGGAAGTGTCTGAAACAAAACCGCCTACAAGCCCATTGAAACGTAGACAAAAGTGAGTCATCTTTTATCATATTATGCATCACTAGCTGAAACAGTGAGTGCTATATTATTCTAACTGGAGAACTTGAAATGTTTCAGATCAAAGAAAGAACCAGACGATTTGTTTGCTATTATTTCTCAGCGACAAAATGAACGGAGGGGCAAAATGAATTCTATGTTCTCATCTTTGGCTAGCAAATACGGTGGGGATCCATCCGCGACAGAGCCAAGTGAGGAAGAATTCGAAGCTGCTCGAATAAGACTGGAGGGTAGGAAGCAATCTAAGCGAAAGTAACTTTTATATAGTGCAACCTCTACACCATGCTGCAAAATGTTGTTTATGCTGTGTTTTCTTGTACTTTGCCATTATGTATTAGGTTGTGCTTCTTTGTTGCAAAGATTATAAGTCTTAAGATAATTGCTAATCGTATATCTACTTTGCTTAAAACATCATACAGTTTAAGTTTTAGACTACACTGTTAATTCAGTTGACAGATGAACTAATTTATTGACTAAGACAAACATAAATAGACTAGTTAATTACATGATTAAGGAACGCAAATTCTAGAAAAAGAATATCATGATTTAAAGTAACTTTTGGGAAAATTGTTTATTAGGTCACCTAATTCATCTTTTTGGTGTAATGGCTGGCAAGAATGGAAAGATATTAATGTGTTGTCCAAATACGTAAGGATCATTGAAACCATATAGTGAGAGATCTATTCCCCGCACTAATAAGATCTCTTCACATTTGATAAAAAAAAACCTTGAATTCTAGTCCTAAAAATAGAATAATCTTTGATGGAATGTTCTCTGTCATTTAATGATACGAATTTAAATTAGTTGAAAATTCTTATAAAAAACACTTTACCTTTTAATAAAGTCTTACCTAGTGAAAATCTAAATTATTTAGGTCTCAAAATGTTATTAAGAGTCATGATAAAATAAATATTATTTATTCACTCTTAACCATATATTTCGAATGATCAAAGAATGTGGTATAATGAATGAACAATTTCTTTCTTGATTAAAGGTCTCGAGTTTAAGTTTTGATATAAAAAGCACGTATTTCTCCTTCTTTGATAAAGTTACGTATTCCTCCCTAATAATTTGTATGGGACTTAAATCCAAATTAATCGAGAGCCTAAAATGATTAGCAGAGATTCATCTGAATCAAGCAATTAATGTGAACAAATAATTGCGTATACAATAATAAGTTATGCTGAACTTTACAGCTTTCACATTCCCCAGCTGTTTAATATCTTTCGTTTGGTAAACTACACTTGTCAATATTCTGTCACCAGCTGTTTCCTCCCCCACCCCACCCCACCCCCCAACTCCCCTTTATAAATTCACTAACTCTTCACTTCAATTCCCACACATCTGAACCCTAATTTCCTTCATTTCTACACTCATTAGCCGATCAATCTCCGGTCACTTTTTTCTACTAAATCTGTTTATCAAATGGCTCGATCTAGCATTATCAATGCATTCTTCATTGTATTCATCGTTTCTCTTTTCTCAGCTATGACTGAAACTTCGGCTCAGGAATTAGGATTAGCTCCGGCCCCGGCACCTGACGCCGGTGCGGCTTTCTCCTTGCCGTCTTCCGGTGTGTTAGTTGGAACTTCTCTCATTCTATGTGTTGCTGCTATCTTCAGGCATTAGAATTTTGATTTAGTGGGGATTGTATGTGTTTTTCAGTTGTGAGAGTAGTGTTTATTGATTTTCTTATGGATTTAGGTGTTTTACGTATGTATTGAGATTGATCTTTTGGCAGTATATATTTCTGATTATAAAATTTTGTTTTTGAGTATAAAAATTGGTTCTTTATTTCCATTTGTTTTTTCGTTCTCTATTGCAAGTGATTATTCTGTTATCTAAGAAGGTGATTATACCTGAAAAGTACATTTATAGTTTATATAATCTGGAAATTAACAACCCGGAAAGGCGAAAACTAAAGAAAAACAAGGCTTTGAGCTGTTTTTTTAGGGGTAATTAGAGCAAAACTCATATCCAGGGTGAAACATGAAGGATAAAACAAAGCTAATTATCATGTAATTGGTACACGCAGAACAGAGTAGAGATGAAGTATGTAAAGAAGGTATCTAGATTAGTCGAGCTTCAAAGTAGGTACTAAACGCCAAGTGGGAAACCCAAAGGAAGTTTCATTGAACTTATAATTTGTCTTGCAGTTTAAAGGAAATACTTTTTTAGATCAACTTATGTTCTTGAGGAATAAGAAGATTAGAAACTTTAAACAATGTATATAATATAGTAACATTAGAGACAAGTTCACAAACTATGTGACATATTAAACAATGTAAGTTGCATTTTTTTTGTTGATATCCCTTTCTGAGGCACAAAATGTAATGCTTATAGAGATAATGACTTGTAAGCATTGAGAACTCAGCCTTATATCCTATTTATTGCCATATTCATCTGAGCTTAATCTTCTCACACTACCTGCATGTATATAATATAGTAACATTAGAGACAAGTTCACAAACTATGTGACATATTAAACAATGTAAGTTGCATTTTTTTTGTTGATATCCCTTTCTGAGGCACAAAATGTAATGCTTATAGAGATAATGACTTGTAAGCATTGAGAACTCAGCCTTATATCCTATTTATTGCCATATTCATCTGAGCTTAATCTTCTCACACTACCTGCATGTATATAATATAGTAACATTAGAGACAAGTTCACAAACTATGTGACATATTAAACAATGTAAGTTGCATTTTTTTTGTTGATATCCCTTTCTGAGGCACAAAATGTAATGCTTATAGAGATAATGACTTGTAAGCATTGAGAACTCAGCCTTATATCCTATTTATTGCCATATTCATCTGAGCTTAATCTTCTCACACTACCTGCATGTATATAATATAGTAACATTAGAGACAAGTTCACAAACTATGTGACATATTAAACAATGTAAGTTACATTTTGTTTGTTGATATCCCTTTCTGAGGCATAAAATGTAATGCTTATAGAGATAATGACTTGTAAGCATTGAGAACTCAGCCTTATATCCTATTTATTGCCATATTCATCTGAGCTTAATCTTCTCACACTACCTGCCCCTGCACGAATACGATCATGTGTACAAAATCTACCAAATGGAAGGTTTTCTTGTTTCCATGGCTGGCGTATGGTCACATCTCTCCATTTCTCGAGCTAGCCAAAAAGCTCGTGGATAGAGGTTTCTTGGTTGATCTATGTTCTTCATCTATTAACCTAAGTTTCATTAGAACAAGAATACCAGAAACATATTGTTCTTCAATTCATCTTGTGGAACTCCAATTACCAGACTTGCAAGAGCTTCCTCCTCACTATCATACAGCCAATGGCCTCCCACTCCATCTCCATTCCACCCTTCAAAAAGCCCTCAAAATGTCTAAACCAAATCTGCTCAACATCTTAGAAGCTCGAAAACCTGACTTGTTAATCCATGATGTCAAGCAATTATGGACTGCTGGGGTGGCTTCTACCCTTGACATCCCGGCGGTTAGATTCTTCACTTCTTGTGCAGCCATGTGCTCCTATTTCAGTCACTTGTTTGTGAAACCAAATGTTGAATTCCCCTTTCAAGCTCTTCGATTACATCCCTATGAGCTAACAAAAGCTCATAAAGTGGTTAAAGAACATCGTGAAGACGATGATCCTGAAGTGAGAGCTCCTGAAGAATTTACAGGCGTGATGCTAATAGGCACGTCGAGAGAGATGGAAGGTAAATACATCGACTATATGTCCGAAATAATCAAATTTAAGGTCTTGCCAATTGGTACACTAGTTCAAGATCCTATGACTAGTGTAGATGGAAACATGGAGATCATGGAATGGTTAGGGAAAAAAGACAAGTTCTCAACTATATTAGTCTCTTTTGGGAGTGGCTACTTCTTGACAAACCAAGAATTGGAAGAAGTAGCTTTTGGGTTAGAGCTTAGCCAAGTGAATTTCATATGGGTAGTTAGGTTCCCAAAAGGGGAAAATCTAAGTCTTGAAGAGGCATTACCACAAGGTTTTTTTGAAAGAATTGGTCATAGAGGGATGGTTATGGGAGGATGGGCTCCACAAGCAAAAATACTAACTCATTCGAGTATCGGTGGATTCGTGAGTCATTGTGGATGGAATTCAATTTCAGAAAGTATAGATTATGGTATTCCAATTATTGCTATGCCTATGGATCTTGATCAACCTATGAATGCTAAATTGCTAGTGGAAATTGGAGTAGCTTTGGAGGTTTTGAGGGATGAAAATGGAGCACTTCATAGAGAAGGCATAGCAAGAGTTATCAAAGATGTAATATGTGGAAAATCAGGGGAGAATTTGAGATGTAATGTGAGAAATTTGGGTAAGAAGTTGAGATTTAAAAATGTGGAAGATATTGATGCAGCTGTGATGGAGCTAACACAACTTTGTCATGAGAAGAATCATAGTTCTTGGATTCGAGTCATGGGTATGGAACCGCGCTTGATAGAGCCCTCAAAAATGGAACTTTCTAGCGCAAATTTAGATTAATCAAGCTTCAAAGCACATGTATTGAAACATCGAGTGAAAAAAGAAGAAAAGAATTGTTAACTTTTCTAAGCTAGTTTATTCAACTAATGCAAGAAGCATAAGAAAAAAATCTTTGCATAATGTGCGTTATTCTATATTCTATTACCATCACAAAATATGACCTTCAGAATTACTGAGAAGTATATTGAATCAATATGATTTGCTTAAATATACTTTGAACAATCTTGATCATTTAAGTTTATCAAAAAGTAAAACTTTAATCTCCTATTTCTCGGCAATGTCAAAATGACATAGCATTGATATGAGGTGTTTAAAATGAACAAAGTCTAATTCAAATTTCTTGATGAAAGTTGATGTCAACTTTAGATGCCTACCGATTTTCAAAATTGAAGTGTTTACTTGTTCGTAAAAGTCAAATTTCAATATTTATCCATGTATGATGCCTAAATAACTTTAATGGGGAAATTACATGGTTAAACAAACATATACTAGATATTTAGTCACCATAACTATAGTTTTAGTTAATTATCACTCACGATCAACATTCATTGATACTTACATGTGCTGAGTTTTGAGTTTGTATAATTCACACGTTTATATAATTCAAAATTTGTACAATATGATTTGTATAGCTTTTGTACAATATAATCAATATAATTGTTTAAAATTCAGATGTTTGAATTTGTATAAATTTGTTATTTCGAGTTTATATAAAAATAACTCAATTATACAAACTTACCCACAAATTATACAAACGATGCAACTTAAATTGTAGCTACAATAAGTTTATTATAATGTCTATTTGCTAAAGTTTTCCTTTTAATTAATAAGTGAACCAAATGGCTCAATGAGATTATTCAGCATAGAACATGAATAGGCCAACAACCACGTGCCAAACAGAACCTAATCGGCCACCGCCCACGATCTCCTCCAATCATTAGCACCACCGTCCGCCGCCGTCCAACACTGATCCAGGCCCACAACAACCCGATTTGAGTTGGACTCTTTCAACGACGTGTCCGCTTCTCCGCCCTCATTTTCCTCAATTCACTACCTATAAATCCCTTCACCTTTCAATAAACCTCCTACACAAACAAACTTTCTTCTCCTTCAGCTCGATTCTGTATTTTTCTTAGATCAATCGAAAATGGCGCAAGTTAACATCTTCAAGGCTTTTGTACTCGCTGTGATTTTCGCCGCCATCGCTGTCTCTGCACAGGTGCCTGAAATGTCACCGGCTCCGTCGCCGAATGCTGGAGCTGGATTCTCTTTGCCAGTTTCTGGTGCTGTTATTGGAATGTCTTTGCTAATTTCTCTCGTCGCTCTGTTGAAGCATTGAATTTGAAGACGATTGTGAAGTTCTGAAATGGTTTCATACTTGAATTTAATTACTATTTATTGATTTTGATTCTATAAAAAAATTCATTTTTTGACAATGTATACAATATTCAAATTGAAATAAACTTATTTGTCAATTATCTGTTATAAATTTGATTATATATCTATACTTCTAGTGATATATATACTCATTCCTTTTTTCACGAGGTTTCAAATGTTCCAGAAAGACTGTTTTCGAAAGATATTCAGCTAAAGCATAGCAAATCAAAGTAGTTATCGAAGAAAGGAACACAACAGAGTAGAGAACATGTCTATTATTATTGATAAGGAAAGCAGTACAGAGTATTCAGAAAAAAGATAGTAACAAAAAAATAACGCTGTAACTGAAACACAATAGACGATAAATATCAAAAGTAAGAAACTACATGCATAAGGCTAATATTACGCATAGATATGGGCTAATTTTACCCTTTAACTATTCGAAATGGACGTGTAACTTGTTCTGCATAATCTGTTTCTGATGAAGGACTATAGGCAATAAATTTGCAGGTGTAATCTCTGTTTCAGATGTGAAAAATGTGTGTTAGTGTTGTTTTTGTTGTCCATTTGTTGAATGCTGATTAACAATACTTGGCTTGGCTGGTGTTGAGCGTTCTGACTGAGAAAATCTAATCAAGATTTGCATAAGTAGTGTAACAACAGCTAACAGTGCAGCTGAAATTGCAACACCCTTCCATGAAGACAACAGTGCTGTTGAGTGTAAGAATTTTATAGCACCAAATAAGACAATACATGCCCAAGATACAATAACCTGTTATTTAGAAAAGATCAAATTAGTATGCTGGAGAAATAAAAGAACTCAAATGCAGTCTAGTGATAAGAGCGCAACATATGATGTGTGGATTAGGTTAGGTGCATGTCATGAAGCAGAGGCGGATCCAGGATTTAAGTTGTATGGGTTTTAATATTTTAAGTTCTCAGCATTGAACCCATTATATCTTTAAAGCTATGGTCCATATCTACTATTTTTGTGATCTGCGTTGAATCATGAATGTACTGGGTGCAGATCAACTTGGTGTCGGTATTCAAACATCTGCCTCTAGTGTGATGTGTGAGTTACACGTTTAAGTGAAGAAGATAGATAAGGGAACCTAATATCCACCAAGTTTCAAATTGTGCACCAACCCTTGAGATTTCTTGATTCTCACAAGAAAGAAAGAGATGTAGGAAGAATTTATCTAGCTTAGCTAGCATGTTTCTTACCACGAAGGATTTCACTGGACGGCCAACATTCTGCAGCTGTTGTTCTCCGAAGGTGTCTTCAGCAATATGTTTGTCCAGCAGTTTGTCCTGGTGACAAGATTAAACGAGAAACAGTTATATAATGGCAACCTAAACACTAGATCCTCGAGATACAGTAGACGTTTCCTATGTAGATTCAACACGAAAGAAAGGTAACCTTGGCCAGAAAGATATCTCTACACCATTGAGCTGTGGCTTCATCATTTTCTGGTAGATCCTTCATCTCGTGGCGTTTGATGTGCACATGAACCTGCACCATAACAAATAAACATTGAAACTAAACATAACACCTTTCCTTTTGCTAACTTAATGAGCCTATACTTGCTTCCTAATCGTTCCCCAACTCATAAACATGAAACCAACAGACAAGTCATCGATTAATTAACAATGGATGAACTGACTTATTCAGATTAACATAGTGCCAAGACAGTCATAACTTGTTATACTGAAGCAATAAATGACTTGCGGATAGTTTGATACATTACCAGAATTCCAAGTTATTGATAATTTTGCTTACCACAGAAGATTGACCCTTGAAGATTCGCAACATTGTTGGCGCTGGTGAGCTTTTAGGCATGGCAAATGTAACATCATAAATAGCTGGAACAAATGAGCGCATATGACTTACTGCTGCGACAAATCCCTGAAACCATCAAATAAATAAACATTTGGTTTCTTCAATACAATCTCATAATAGATAGCAAGGCAAAATGTGACAACACTACCAACTTTAGGAGCCATTACAATCTTAAAGAGAATCTCTTGATGATTTGTGTAATAACTTGAATTCGAAAGCATCAACCTACTTATGATACAATATACAAACTTTACTTCAAATATGATTTAGTTGGGGAAAGAGGGTAACGTTTGGTGCTCACCTTGGTACGAGGAATTAACACATTCTTCGGAACAGGTAGCCCTGCTGAGGCTGCATATTCTTGAGCAGCCAAAAGCTTTGCCTGTGTAAAGCGAGTGCCTTCAACAAAAAGTGCCAGCCAGAAAGGTTGAGGGTAATCTCGTAGCCATTGAAGACCTGACTGCAAATTTAACCCCATAAGTATCAAATTACAATTAGTTGTAAATCAACAAAGACAAAACAGATCCCAGACACTCATCAACAAGCCAAACTAAAGAGAAATGTAAATCTAGATATGCATTTTGTAGTATTGAAAGTATTTGGATACAAAGATGCTCAAGTATGCTTAAATGTGCAATGAATGACTAAATTGATCAGGCTTAACTATACCTTTATCGTGTTTTCATCCTTGGCCCAGCTTCTTTCAAGGAATAGGTACTCAGAAAACCACATTGACCAACCAAGTACCTGCATAATGCATAAGATTAGTGACCTTAGTAGAGAGATTGAGAAAAAGAAAAATAAACTGGGAGAGTCCCATATATATATAATAGAAACTTCAAGGAAAAATAGTTAAAAAGTGTTTAGGAGCAGTCACTAACAAAAACAAGAGCAAAATGCTAAGATCATGTTTCCTTCCTGTTAACAATATACCACCATATTCAAATAAATGCAGATACCCTCAAGGCAGGGTAAGTTCTATATACACTCTACCCTCCCGAGACTCCACTTTGTGAGATTACATTGGGTATTTTGTTGTTGTTGTAAGCGATTTTCCTCTTGAGGTTAGAATTTACTACAATGGGGACCATACATCTAAAATATTATTGCTTCCTTACTCCATTTTATGCACAATGAACTTATAAAATTCCAAAAAAACACAACAAAGCCATTACTCTTCCAGAATCCCAAATAAATTGCTGGATAATATGGGAATTGAGAGCTTCTCTACAGGAAAATTTACTGAGAAATGGATAGTAACTAGCTTTCGGTCAAAAGAAGAGTGAAAATCTTTATAACATTCACTCCAAACACTTAACTGATCAAAAGAAAGAAAAAGTTTCACTCAAAGAACTTACAGGAAGAAATTTTGAAGATTTCTTCATAACAGCTAATGCGCTACCAAGGCAACCGGATCGCTGCAATTGAAGGATTCAAGAATCAACAAACAGAAGCCAATTGATAATATTTATTAGTAATCGCCTGAAAGACCACATCTCCATCAAGCAATAAAAGTAAAGTTCCTATAAAATTACTAGCTAATTACAAGTTAAAAATCCATAACAAAAACGTATATAGGCGATGAACATAGACATGTATGGAGTTGGATATAAAAGTATCACAGGGATACATTTGCATAGGACAAATTGTTTGCTTAAGGGTTTCGACATAATAGATCACCGAGTAGTGATTATAGTTGTGCAAACCTGTGCTAAGACCCATCCAACTAGCCAATCAATGTCACTTCTGTGATTCGCTATCAGCAGGGCATGTTCTTTACCTGGAAAGATCAGCCGGCACAGCAATAATAAGCACTACATCAAGAAACTTGACAAAATATACATTACAAACACCAGTAGAGTAGAAAATGGAAAATGGAATCCAACTTACCCATTAATCTAAAAGTTTCTGGGTCCATGTACAGTTTAATCTGCAACCAGATTAACTCATCAATGAGAAAAGAGTATCATGTGGCAAACATAAGAAGAAACTGAGAGAAAGCAAATCAAAAGTATGTAATATTCCCCATCTTATCTCAAATCAGTTGAACCTTTGTCATTTTCCCAGGAGATCAACCCAGAGTTTTGGTAAATACAGAGGGTAAAGTGTGACACAAAAGCAACGAGAACCTAAAAAAATATTAAGAACATGGAAAAAGCCACAATGCAAGGAACATAATGAATCTAATGGTAGTGCAGACAAATATATCAATGAAGTAAAATTATGGATTTATTACACATAGTTGTTACCCACATATTGGTAGCATTCACAACACTGTCATGCTTGCTTAGCTTCAATTTCATACTTTATTGGGATCGCGAATTACTGAGACAATAATCATCATAGCAGCATGGAACAGAAAAAAGAAACTATCTTAGCAAATCCTTATCCATAATTCAAGTCCTCATTTTCATCTAGTAAAGGTTCTTGATTTGTAATATCAAATTTCTCTATAACTTTCATATGATATGCTTAACAATGAGTACAAATCCTAGTAGGACAGGCCAATTATGTTAAAGAAAAGAGCTTCTTGTTATTTGGACAATTGGTTTACATGCCAAGACTGTAACTTTTTACATTTACATTCTTGGCATAAATTTCTACATTTACATTCGGAAACAGCTCCTCTACACCACAAAGATATGGATAACGTTTGTGTACATTCTATCCTCCCCAAACCCCATTGTGGAATTACACAATGTAACATATACATATATCCAAAACGAATTACCTCTACACCAGCCCGCCAATCAACTAACCAAACAAGCTCCAGCCATAAAAGTTCTGCAAAAATTCTATTAATCCTCCTGTATATGTTCTTCGAAAATGGCCTTATTAAGACAAAGCAAGCAGCCTGCAATTCAACACCATATCAAAATTCATTTCACCAATTTTTTCATTCAACAAAATAGCAAAATAAAGTACAAGCAGAGCTAATTCTGTACTGCATTTACCATTAAACTTAACAAATCATAGATAAATAAACAAAAGACTTCATTTTTACTTGAAATTGAGAAACCCCAGATGAAAAATCCAGCAAAACTTCAAAAAATTCACACAAAAAAGAAGCAAAACTAGAAAAGGGGGAAAAACCCAAGTGAGGGTTTTGAAGGTATACCTGTATGAGATTGATGAAGAGGCCAGAGATGAAGAATACAATGCCCATAGGGACGATTACAGCTGCTGCTGCAATAGCCATATTGAGATCTGAATGAAGAGATACTCAAAGACTGAAATGGTGAAATGAAGATATAAATCTTTTGCATGTTACATAATCTTTGGTAACATATATTGTGCTGTATTGTATGGCGCGTGAAATAGTAAATAGTCTTTTATTTTTAATAAAAAATCTCGTATTTGAGTCCTCTCGATGCAATTTACCTTCGATATGGAATTTTTTAGTTTTTAACACTAATTTGAATTTAATCTGACTTCATTATTTTTTATTGTCACATAATATAACACATCAATAATTTAAAATATAAATATACCAAAAAAGTAAGATGCGAGTTAAAATTATTAAAAACATTACGCCGGTAAAAATAATAAGTAGAATAACAACACAATAAATAAATCATTATACAAAATAAGACTTTTCATCCGTATCTAATAATGAAATTAACGATAGAAGAAAAATTAAAATAAACAAAAGAATATTATATTTAAGCTAAAACGCAATATAATACAATACTATATCATAAAATAATCATCCAAAGAAGCTGCACAAACTTCAAAGAAATCAGCATGAATACTATCTGTATTGAAAATTGATCTCTCTTTTCTTGCTAATCCCTAAAAAAAAATATACACTTTTCTATATTTAATAATAATAACTTAAAAAATACTACTTATTTAATCTTTAATGCAATATTTATGGTCATATGAGTATTAATGACTGACCTATGTGATCTTTAATGCGATGTTTATAACCACATGAGTACTATATATCATACATTTCAAACGTCTTATTTTCTCCGTCCGTTCGTCTTTGTTTATATATATTTAGTTTAACATATTTTTAAGAAGCAATAAATGAAGCATAATTTTATCATATCATTTTAATTATTATAAGTTATCTTATTCATCATTTCTTGAACTTTCAACTTAACAAGTAAAAATAAGCATATATTATTAAATATAATGAACAAATAAATATGAACGGACAAGTATCATTTTTATAACCAGACAGACGGTGTATATTTATAGATATCATGAAAATTTATTGTTGCCTATTTATGGATGTAGTTGAGGAGAAAAGATTGGCAGGTCCATAATTAATGGATTTAACTATTTATTGATATTTTCAAGAAAAACTTGAAATAATTTTAATTTCCTTTTTCACCCAACAAATGGATTTAACTTCTATTTTTGGAGAAAATGTACTTCTATTTTAGTGGCTTTTTTTTTTCTTTTTGAGAAAATATTTTAATAATCTAAAGTAACAAAAGAAAAAGATAATTAAGGATAGGGTAATACATGACACGCACAAAACATAATAAAAAGAAGGGCTATGACTCCGGTACTATGTTCTCCATAATTATTTTTGATACTAGAGAATCGAAAAGAGAATTGTATTCTCTTTTTTCCATTTTCAAACAACATATAGGTCTTTTATGAAGTTGAATGTCTGAATGATCACTCAACTTATAATAAGTAGTTTAATGGTAACGACAATTATAAACTTAGTATAAGTTGAGTGATAGTTGTTGATCAATTACTATAAGTTGAATGATCATTCAAACATTTAACTCGATTATTTGGGCTATTAGAGTGTATTAATAAGTTAAAAATTCACTCACATGTTACATTTCCATTTACAAATTTTGGAGTGGGGTTGGCATAGGCTAAGCCCATAGTAAATGTAAGTAGAATTGTGAAAATGGAGGATGACTAGACAATATAAATAGAATATACACAAATATATGTGTGATACATCTCAATTTCTTTAAGGAAAGAGACTTCATTCCAACTTTTGTTCATTATAATGATGTAATTTGCTCAAATTCCACCTCTATATCATCCATGAAGAAGTAGCAAAAAATATGCATTCAAGGATGTGACGTAATGATAAATGAAGTGATAGAAGAACCATGAGGTCTAATGTTTAAATTCTAGCAGAGGCAAACATATTTTCAATTTCTTCTCATTCGTTTCAGCCTTGGTAGGCAAAGTTGTCTGGTAACAATACTGGTGAGAGGAAATCAATATCACGTGAAATATTCAAGATGCACGTAAGCTTGCTCGGACACCGTGAATTATGCAATAACATTCCATATGTTTGGTAGTGGAACTAATTAAGATGTTTGGCAAAATACATTGTCACATATATCCAATAATTAGATTTTTGATAGTGAAAGATGATTACATTACCTAATAATTAATATAATGAAATGTTATGAAACACATGTAATGGTTGGGAAGCTGATTGATTTCCACCATTACTCTACAGGGAAATACCCAACTTATTCTTGAATGATTTGGTTTCACCTCTAAAGAGAAATAATTTGAATAATTTCCCTTTGTTGAAGTGACTAAGAAAGGATGTGCCAACAACTAAATTAGATGGTCTGCCTAATTCAGATTTGTAACTCGTAAGATCCGTTAAAGGAGGAAAGTGTTGTATGTCAAGATTTTTCGAACACGGCTAGACTTCTAAGTAAAGATAAAAGAATCTCATCCATTCCACGACTGGATAGTTAGTAGAATATGAAGTACCTTTTATAAAGTTAAGTATAGTCATAAAAGCATCTAAAAGTTATCACATGAATCCTCTTTCATAAAACAAGGTAATAAACCTCTAGCTAAAATTTACCCTTGTGCTCTTAATTTCCTTTTGTACATATATAGCATTAATGTGCTGGAAACATTAGCCTAAATTCATTGAATTTTTGTTTTGCCAAAAGATGTATAAGTTAATAAAACAAGACTTCTAGAGTCATATATAGACATAAAGGCTAAAGGTAGAGTAGTAGTGCAAGGACTATGATTTCTTTTTTTTTTATTGTTTCCAATCCGATATTCAGCTACGACTCGACTAATTCAAATATGTGAATGTTAATAGTATTTAAATTTGTGAATACTAACCTTAGCGAACGCGAATTCGCAACAACCGTGACTTATAGAAAACCCCTCTCTAAACCTTATTTATTTATTTTCACTAAATAAAAGAAACCTAGCTCCAACATTTTTTAAATTATAATGATGTATTGTTTTCAAAAAATGTGTTATGGTCAAAGTATTATTCCTCCAACTGTACAACCAGGAAAAAAAAAGTAGAAAAAAAATAAATAAGGAATATTATAAAGTTTCCCTCAAATTCAACCTTCATAGACAAACAAATAAACAAACAAAGATATAAAATTTAATAAAAAGAGATATGTCCATTATATTTAATATATAAAATTTGAAGAAACTAGAACCATGACAACTCCAAATCAACATTTGACTTCAGAAACATAGTTGAATTGAATATGATATATATGTTTGCTTTTTCTAACATTAGTTTAATCAAATCATATCATAGTAGTTGCTTTTTTTCACATAATTAATATAATCAAATCTCTTTATAACGACGTTATTTATCTGAATAATATTTTGAATATTATAGCAAAAACGTTATTATAAAAAACATATAATAACATATCATAACATGAAACATTATTTTTTACAAAAAAATAAATTATTCTTTATAAAAAAAATGTTATAGAGAAGTTTGAGTGTCTGACCACATAATAATCTCATTTCTTTAAGCTCCAATAGAAAATAACATAATTATACAATTTGATATCACAATTAAATTAGTACTAATTAATTATAAAGGATCAATATTTTTTTTTAAAATGTATTTTTTTTCCCTATCTGTTTATCTATTTGCCTTTTCCTAGTACTCAAGAGACTCGTGATTTAGAAAATTTTAGTTTTTAGTTTATGGTTTATTCATTTTTAAAAAAAGGTTATTTTCAACTACTGAATTTTCAGTCCTTATCATTTACAAATTCTAAGATATGATGCCATTTGGTTAATTCAACACCAAAGATATAACTTTCAACAAGAAAAGAACATAAAGAAAAAAGATAAATCCACCAATCTAAAAGGACATCTTTCTTTTTTCCCCTTTATTATAAATGGTCATCAATTAATCATGGTTAAATAATATATATATATATTACTATAATATTTATTTATACTTTTTTTTTGTTTTTATTTTACACGTAATCATTCTCGTGCAGAATCATGTTAATCTTCTACGTATCGTTTACATTTATAATGTCCTAAAAGGGACTTACTTGAGCCAATATTCTTTATACAACAGCTTTTGGAATCTTATTATTTATCCAAAAGGAACTTAAAGCATATTAGATGTTTTTGAAATTCTTTATACCAATTGGGAATTCCAAATGCACATAAAAGTTAACAGCATCTAATGAATTACTATTAATATATTTGCCATGAAGCTCCACTAACATAATTATCCCTTAAAATACAAGGATTCATTATTCCTAATCTAATTTTTAAAAATTACCAAAACATCAAATCCAACTTTTGGGGAATTGGAATCCACCACAAGTCCACAACTAAGGATTTCCATGTATTTGTAAGTAAGAATCCTATCAATCTCCATGATAAAGGTATCGCATTCAAGAGCGTGATCCAGTGGTTAACGAAGTAAGCGATGAAGGTAGCTTGGGGAAAAAAAGAAGTTCAATTGAATCTCGTTCACTAAAAAATTATACTATGCAAATAAGATAAAAACTAAGTGGTTTTGAAGCAATCAAGGGAAAATTCTAGTAAATGCGAAAGAGATTCAAAAATTGTTTTAGATCACAAGTTCAAATTCCAGATATGAAAATCCCAACTCTGACACTGTGGATTACTAGGGTTCAAATACCAATAAAGTCAAAAAAACACTTGTTGATTTCTTTCTATCTGTCTAAGCCTTACTAGGCGCAATTATTAGTAGGAGGTAGCAAATATCATGAAAGATACTCGAGGTGCGTGCAAGCTGGCTAGGAGAATGTAGTTGTTAATGTATCAGCTAAAGGCATATGGAATTCTGATTCCAAATTTACATCAACAACTACAATCAGAAAGTTTTTTTATCTACCTTTACACAACACCTTCTAGCACTAACAATATTCCAAGCAACAAACATCAGAATACAGAAAATACTCATCTGGGCAAAAAAAATCAACACATTTAACAATATTCAGATGAAATAATTTCATGTTAATGCATAATTGTCACAAAAATGACAACTGCTTTCAGTACTCTGATCCA